ATTTAAAAATACCATTTGCAATCTAAACATTTAAAAAATATCTTACCATGGAAACAGATCCCATCAAAAAGCACTGAGATAAATCTAATGAAAGGTTATATAATATTTCTATATAGAAAACTGATAAAACAGTTTCAGAAGAAAATTTAAAAGATCTAAGAGTGGAAAAAATTCATAATTTTTATTGATTCTAAGATTTAATATTGGAAAGATGTTAGTTGCCAAATTGACTAATATATATCATGTAACCCCCATCAAAATTTCATCATAGATTTTTTGCAGAATTTGACAATATGTTTTCTAAAAACATATTTTATGTTTCTTAACTATAAAAGGCTTAAAATAGTAATGACTACTTGATAAGGAAAACAAAGCTAGAAGATGTAAATTATATCAAGATTTATTAGAAAGACACAGTGATTGAAACTAAATCTTATTGTGAAAAAGACAGACTATAAGACAAGTGTAACAGAACTGCGTGTTCAGAAAAGCTATTCAGTTGTCTCTAATCACTTAGATTTATGGATAAATGGCACTGTAATCAGCAGCAAATATAGTATTTTAACTAATAAATTATGGATCAACTAGCTATCCAAATGAAATAACAAAACAACACAACCTTGATTTATTACGTCACTGAAAACATAGCAATAGACACAATACAGATCATACACTTAAATGTGAAACATAAAGGAATGTAGCATTTTAGAAGGTAAAATGCAATACCATCTTTTTTTAAATTTTGGGGTAGGCAAAGATTTCTCAAGACAAAAATGAAAAATTAAAGGACTTCATAAAATTAAAAGCACTATTCATGAAAAACACCATTGAGAGAATACACATTATTTTTGTCCTGACAGTGGATCTGTATTTCATGTGTGTGTGTGTGTGTGTATATATATATATATATATATATATATATATATATATATATATATATATTAAATATATAATACACACATATATATACACACACATGCACACACACAATAGTAAAAAATTTACATTCTTAGTATGTAGAATTACTGGAACTTTCATACACTTGTATTGAGAATGTAAACAAGTACAACCACTTTGAAAATCTATTTGGCAACACTATAGTTGACCCAGTAATCTCATTCCTAGATACATAAATATCAAGTGTCCCAAAAGACGGTAACAAGAATGTTCATATTGACTTGATTAGTAATAACACATAAATAGGAAATGATTCAAATGTCCATTAGGAGTAGAATGTATAAACAAATTTTGGTTATGTTGTATAATAGAGTATTACGCAGCGATGAAAAACATGAACTACTTTTATATGAAACACCATGGATAAATCTTACAGATATAATGTCAAGTGAAAGAACCAAAGAGGAACCGTTTACATAAAGTTCATAATAGGCAAAACTTATTATCTAGAGTGGTAGAAATTAGAACCATGGTTATGCTTGAGGGGAATGAATGATTGGAAAGAGGCAATAATATACCTTGGTTTACTGGTTTTGTCTGTCTTGATTTGTGAATTGGTTATTTAGGTGCAGACATTTGTAAAAAAGTTATCCTTCAATATAATTAAAGTTTGTACAATTTACTGTACATATGTTTTACTTTAATGAAAAGGTTAAGAAATCAGTTTTACAAACAAATGACTTGGAAAAATAATCAACAATAAATACAACCAACTGTGTTAATATAGGGACTGTAAAAGAAGACATAATTAAAGATTTTATTATGTTTTTGTTAGTGCATTATAATTATCCATAGTAGTGGAATTCATTTTGACTTTTTCATATATGACAAAACATAATTTTCTTCATTTAAAGGAGTTTTTAAAAAATAAATTATGGTGGTGTAATATACAGGACAATGAAAGAGAAGGAAGAGTCTAAGATAATTCATAAAATTTCAAACCTGGATGACTGAAAAATCTTTGCCATTGAAAATAATAACAAGTCTTAGAGAGTAAGGACTTCTTTCAAGATACGATCATAAAATATGTTTTGAAAATACTAGGTTTGAAATGAAAAATCCCTAATATAAAATCTTTTTCTGTATACCTTTATTTTATTTATTTATTCTTCATGTGGTGCTGAGGATTGAACCCAGTGCTTCACATGTGCTAGGTGAGCACTCCACCACTGAGCCACAACTTCAGTGCCCCTAATTTAAAATCTTCATGTGCAAGTCTTCTATAAACCTTTAGAATAATGTGTCTTCAAAAGTCTTATGAATAAAAATCAGTTAAAATAATTACATAGATTTAAATAAATTCATATAAGGATTACCACGTTTTGAATCATAATCCACACTGTTATATTAAATATATTATAAATTATTGTAATATAGTTTTTCATCCCCAAGATAAACCTCACTTGAGCACGATTTATTATTCTTTTTAGACCTCTCTGGATTCAATTTGCTGATAATTTGTAAAAGATTTTTAAACTCTATTTTCTTGAGGGATGTTTTAATCTATAATTTCCCTTTTTTATTATCCTTGTCAGATTGACTTCATAAAATGATTTAGAAACTATTCCCTCCCCTATTTCTGAGTTTATATTAAATTGTTATTATTTCTTTTTTGATTATTTTATGCCATAGCCATGTATATCTAGAATTTATGGGAATATTTTAAATTATTAATTCATATTTTTAAAAATTTATTGTAATATTCAAATATATTATATCTGTTTCATTTGTTATTATTTTTTAAGGATTTGTCCTGTTCATTTAGGTTATTTGACTTACTGACATAAAGTTTTTAATTATATAACCTTTAACCCCCTTCATCACTTCTGATATTGGTCATTTATATTTCTCTAAGTTTACCTCTACTAAAGGTTTCTCAATTTTTTCACCTTTTCAAGGAACAACTTTTATTTTCTTGATTTTTGTTTTTACGTTTTTATTTCTATTCATATCTTTATATTTTTCTTTACATTTTATTTTCATTGTTTTTCTTCTAAGCTAAATGCTTTCCTCTAAACATAATTTTATCTCTATGACACAAATGTTGATTTGTTATATTTTCATTACCTTTATCATTCAATTCTAATTGTCATTATTATTTATTTTTAAGCCATGCTATTTAGAAATTAAGTTCTTAATAATTAAGGATTTTCTGAATGTCTTCACAACTGCTTCTATTTTAATTCTAATATAGTCAGAGAACATACTCTGAATTCAAATGATTTCAAGTAACTTTAATTATTTGAAAATTTTTAAGACTTGTCTTATGGTATATAGCATAGGTCTATCGTGTTGCATTACTTCTTTTTAAGAGGACTGTATTACATAGAAATCACTTTTTTTTGTAGTTGTAGATGCATGTTTTTATTTTATTTGTTTATTTTTATGTGGTGCTGAGGATCAAACCCAGTGCTTCAAACATGCTGGGCAAGTGCTCTGTCACTGAGCCTCAGTCCCATGTTCTATTACTATTAGTTGTGGAGCAGGCTGAACAAATGTTACTGCAGGGTGGACTGAACATTCGACCCCCACCCATCTGGTGCAATGGAAACCCACTTCTGGCCCCTGCCGGATCTGCCTGAGGACAGAAGATGACACCCTTAGCAACTACTGTATGATCCAATCACTGCACGCCAGTCAACAAGGCAGCTTAGAGACCCCATTAGATTTTGGCTATAAAAACTCTCTCCTGCTGGCCACCCCCACCACTACAACCCTTTAGCTTTGCCCTCTTTCTCTCTCATTATTCTCTCACTTTCTCTCTCTGTGCTTTGTGCTCCTCTCCTCTCCTTCCTTCCTCTCCTCTCTGCTCTGTCCCTCCCTCTTTCTCTTTCCCTGCTCTCTTTCTCTTTTCCTGCTCTCTTTCTCTTTTCCTTCCCTGTCAATCAGACACCACCGCCTAAAGGTCTCTTGGTCACTCAGAATGTCGTGGTCACTTTCCTTTCAATTACTTTAAAAGACTAATATGTTTACAGTTGTGTGATATGTTTGTTCTGTAGACATCAATTTGGTTAAGCAGCTTGATAATGTTACTCAAACTTCTTATCTTCTTTTGTTTTATGTATATGTGTATACTTGATTCATAATTCAGAGAGGTACATTAGATCTCAAACTATAAAGGTGGTTTATATTTCTCTTTAGTTTTTACCAATCTCTGCTACCTTTATCTTTAAGCTCTGTTATTAGATACAAAAACATTTAACATTATTATGACTTCTTAATTAACTGACACTATCAGTATAAAATATCCTTATTTATGTCTGATAATACTCTTAAGTCTTGAAGTCCACTTTGCTTGATATTACTATAGACACAACCAGCTTTCTTAGTAGAGTATACATGGTTCTAGAATTTCTATTTGTTTCTTTTTTAGAATTTCCATTTCTCCTGAAATACCCATTTACTATTGTCAACATACTATTGTAAAATATTTAACGTATTTATAGTAGTTGCTTTAAAGTCCTTGCCTACTTATTACAATAACTGTTTTCCCAGTTAATTGGTTTATATCGGCAGTGTTTTCCCTGGACTACACATCTCATTTTCCTCCTCCTCTGTTTATCTTGTTCTCTTGTGTGTTCGACATTATATAACAAACATTGTGGAGGCTGAAATTTAATTTTGTTTAGTTTTCAGACAGCCTTTTCCTTTGGTATTTTGAGTGGTGGCTGATCTCTTAAAATTCTTCCAAAGTTGATTCAAACTTTGCAGGGTTAGCTGCAAATTTAATTAGATTGAGTTCACTTGTGATTAACTCAACCTCCAACCTCTCTTCCTTCATATCTACCTCTTATTTCTTGACAATATTTCATCTGAAACAAGTTGGAACTAAAGTTTTAGATATTTTTGATTCATAAATGAAGTCAATTCTGTCAAGGCCCTGGAATCTAAGAATCATGTGAATGTGTGATCTATACAATTTTTTTTCTATGCCCTTCCTCCATTGGTGCTTTCTTTGACAAAAATTCAAAAGTAAGGTCTGAGGATAAGTGAAAAGGATTGTTTGACTAAGCCATTTGTTTTTGCATTTGATGTCTTTACAGTTTGTTCTCCCAACTCACACTGATTCCTAGAGCCCACCTAATTTCTGTTCATTTCTGCAAAGTTACTGCACCATGGCAGGTCAATGGAAGCCTCAAGGGAAAAACAGAAGTGTGTTCCAGGTAAGGAAGCTATCACAGCTTTATGGTTGTTTATTAAACAGCATGTCTCTTTTTGGAATTCAAGTTATCAAAACATCCAGGGAGAGTCAGACATGGACTTGAAACCTCTTCTGTTGCCCAGGGCCTCATGTTTTAAAGGACCCTGCACTCGACTTAATGATCTAATGTCAACGTCTTTAAATTCTTAATAATTTCTGAACAAAGGGAATTTTCATTAATTATGTAATTGGTTGTACAAACTGTAATCCACTGATTTTCATTAAGTTCTTAGAAAAGAATGATTTTTATTTCAACCATGTTTTACTTGTTACCATGGAGCATCATTTATATTCTACCAAAAGCAGAAGGCTGTTCAATTTATGCCTCATCTCCTTTTAAAATTATCCCAGAGAACTATTGAATTTTATTTTGAAATTAGTTGAAACTTTCCTGTGCAAATTCACTTCCTTAACTCATTTTACTAATTCCCTTTAATTGAAATATATTATTTTCAATTTATTCTAGTAGTAATTTAACAGCTATTATAAGCAAAAAATGTCAACATTTAAATTGTTTTACTTCTGTGCATTAAAAAAATACACTGTGCATTAGTTTAATTCTGTGCATTAAAAAATACACTGATGAATGGGGAATGGAAGGACAGCAGAATAAAATAGACATTATTATTGCTGTGGGTATATACGTGACTGCATGACCAATGTGATTCTGCAACCTGTACACTCAGAAAAAAGAAATTATATCCCATCTGATTCAAATGTATGATATGTCAAGATCATTGTATTGTTATATGTAACTAATTAAAACTAATAAAAATACACTGATAGTGCCTTTTAATCAAACTGTTATATGCAATATCCCTGATGATATATCATAAACAGTTTTCTGTCTCTAAATCTTTGTCTTCCATCTCGAATATGTCTTACCCTTCTCAATATGACTAGCCAAAGTCCCATTTTTTCCATAAAATTCAAATGACAGCTCTATTCATCTTTTGTTCTATCTGAACACTTATTTTTGTAATGGTTGTCACACATGACCTTTATTATTATTTCTTATAAGTCACATATTTATTTATATTAATCATATATTTTAAAATATTAAGAGAAGTAACTACCCTCTTTAATCTTAAATGTGTAATTTTACCAAGCACATCCCTATAATTTTATAATGTTGGCCATTTTATATATATGAAATATATGTTTTAGTAAATAAAATATATATTTTAGTAAATAAAAACATGATGCAATCTCTTCATTCATGTTCTCATGACCATTAGGGCATTAAACTTCTGAATTCCTCTTATTTTTGCCTTCTTTTTTTTTT